CCCCCCAAGCAGATGATTGGACAATGAAGGAGCATCACAACACTGATGAGGATTTTACTCTGCTCTCTCCTTCTAATAGCAAATGTCCAGTGTTAGACTGACAGCACTATGCAGTGATGTAGCACCTGATTGGCTTCTAGTGCTGCCCTTCCCTCTCCCAGTCTGAATCCTGTTCTTCAGATTACAGGAAACTAATATATAATAGCTCATGGTACCTGTGTTTAAAAATGAATTGAATCCTTTTTGAAAGCAAGCCAGGGCAATTCTTACTGAACATATGATGAAAACAATCTTTAAGCCACGGGTACCTTCAGTGAAAACCGCGTGTCAGAATGACCAGTAAGCATATAGGAATATATATTGCTTTTTCTTTCAAGGATGAGCTTGGTCTTTCCACTTCTGCATCACCAGCCTTCCTGTTGGTCAGTTAGGCTTCCCGCTATATTAAAGGACCAATAGTGAAGCTCAAGAGGTGAAAGAGATGGGGCTAGTCCTAATCTATTATTTGCATGTATGAATGTAATGTGCTTTTATGAGTGGAAGACTTAACTCTGTGCATTCTTTTATGGTTAGGTGGCCTTTGATGTCATAGAAGAGATCTGCACTGAGATGGGGGTGCACAGAGACGAGGCCTACCATGAATATGCCATCTTTGCTGTTACCAACCGGGGTAAGATGGGGAACAACACCACACACCTCCAAGCTAAGACCAACAAATGCCACATCCATGTTCCAGATACAAATGTGCCTTCCTAACTTAAAATGTTAAACAGTTCCCTTGCTGTTTAAATCAATACATAGAAATATATTAACAAATACATCTATTTTTCAAAAAATCACGAGGATTAAACTAAAGTCAGGTTTAAGTCCTTTTTTTAAACATGTTGTAGTATGGAAAGTCTATAGATCACACCTGGGGCTTGACATACTGTCTATGTTGCTGCACCAGAAAGCAAACAAATAAGAGAAGCCATCAGAAGGGAGGAAGCCATATGATGGGGCCATTGGTCAGGACAGAGAATGGCTCTTCATTCTCTGCTAATCATCTCCTCTGCCAAGTCTATACATCCCTATAAAGAAATGTTGAAGGCATCAGGTTAAGACCTTCGTTTTTAAAAATGATGGCAATGACGCATGCCACTGAAAGGGGCAGTGAATTGAGATGTTGAAGGGAAGAGAGGCAAAACAGGAAGTAGCACTTTTAGGCAACTCATACTGCGGATGCCCTGTGAGCTCTAGAGGCAGTCTCAGGCCAAGCGACACCCAGGCAAGATGATGTGCAAATGTTAATTCCAGAGGCAGTCTCAGACCATGTGGCTCCCAACAAGATGATGTGCATATGCGAGTCCCAGTGTCAGTGATAGGGCAGGAGACACCCAGGCAAGATTATATGCATACAGTATGTGAGTTCCAAAGACAATCTTAGACCAGGAGACACCAAGGCAAGATGACATGCATATGTGAGTTCCACTGGCAGTCTCCGTGTAGGAGACAATCATGTATGGAACATCAACCAGAAGCATTAACGAGTCACAGGGCTGAGTCTTGTGTTTTAGAAATAATTCCAATGAAGCATGAAACTGAAAGGGACAGTGAATAGAGATGTTGCAAGGAAGAAGGGCAAAATGGGAAGTTGCTCTTTCAGGCAACTCATACTGCTGGTGCCCTGTGAGTTCTAGAGGCAATCTCAAGCCAGGAGACACCCAAGCAAGGTGACATGCATATGTGAGTTCCAGAGGCAATCTCAAGCCAGGAGACACTCAAGCCAGATGGTATGCATATGGTGGTTCTAGTGACTGTCTCAGGCCAGGTGGTACCCAGGCATAATGACATGTATATGTGAATTCTATAGACCGTTTCAGGCTAGATGGTACCCAGGCATGATGACATGCATATGTGAGTTCCAAAGGCAGTCTCAGGTCAGGTGGCACCTAGGCAAAATTATATGCAAATGTCAGATCCAGAGGCAGTCTTAGCCTGGAGACACCCAAGCAAGATATCATGCATATGCAACTTCCAATGGCTGGCTTGCCCATGCAAGAATTAAAGAGGCCGAGATGTTTATTTGCCCAGGTACCCTCTGCAGTTTCTGTCAGTCTTATATCTCTGGCCAAGCTACGGGGCCAAGTAATGGACCATGGGATGGTGCAAAGGAAGTTATTCTGCATTCAGTATTTCCCTTATGCTATCACTCACTAACTTACCATTACAGTGTAAGCAAAAAGAAGCCAGGTGATCAGTATCCAGACTTCAGCTTGTAATGACTGCAGGTCATGTGATTGGAGCTACTTGGAAGAAATAAAAATATAAATGTCTTGCATAAGACCTCACCTTGCCTGTTCAGACAGATCAGGTGGAGACACTTCCCATAATGTTACACTCTAATCTCTTCCTCCTACAGGTCAGAATGTAAGACCTCTGAATAGGAAGGAATACATCCTGGATGTTTCAGCTGAAATGGAGCAGACTGATAGTAACTACATGTTCTGGTTCAGAAGAATCATCTGGGCTCAGCCACTAAAGTTTGAGAATGAGCTGTATGTGACCATGCATTATAACCAGGTACAGTAGAGACATGAACATGGTGGAGGCATGGCGCTAGCTGTAAACAGACGGTAATGCTTCTTTGTTCTCGCTTGCTAGGTCTTACCAGATTACTTGAAAGGATTGTTTAATGTCTTCACTCATGCTAAGCCCACCGAGCAACAATTCCAGCAGATTTCAAGACTGGCGGCCTTACAACACCGCGCTAAGGATAGTGTTTACCTGCCTACCGCGTACGTATGCCATCTTTGCAGCCTGCCATGTGACTTCCAGTCAGATCTGTTTTTGTGCACGGAAAACTGGTTGATGGGTTTGGTAAACAGAAGTGGAATGTGCATCAACCTATCCACTTACGCAAGCCCTTATTCTGCCTATATGTCACTGTATTATTTAACATATCATAGCACATTTCATAACCTCAACAGCTAGAGGCTATAATTAGCTGGGCCACCTATGTGGTGTTTTTATTTGTTCTAATTTCCTGTACCACCCTACAGGCGTGAAGTCCAAGATTACATCCCCAACCAGTTTTACAAGTCGGTGAAACCTCAGTCGTGGTTGAATATGGTGATGCAGCACATGCAGCAGATTCAGCCTCTGAGTCCTCACCAGGGAAGGGCTCAGTTCTTAGGTAAGGAGCGTCCACAGGAAGTACAGATCTTATCCACAATATACCACCACACCAAATCCATTCTCCCTTGCACTTCTTCTGTCCATGCATGGATTGCTTAATGGATATTTGAATTCCCTGTAATGGGTTCATCTTGCAGCCTAATAAAAAATGCTGTTATAAGATCTTTTTCATCTTAGTAGTCGATTAACTAATACAATACCAAATATGTCTATTAGCCCTGATGAAGAGGCGAAGGTCCCTGAGACATGTTGACTCTCCTTCGCCATAAAGATTGCCATGGTTTAGAACATTCTTTTAGACACAGTAACTCTCCCACTCAAAGGAGTGGAACATGCATTCTGCTTTTGCATCGCCCCACTGGTGTGATTCACCCTCTGTATTTGTCTTGGTGACCATTGTCATTGGAACAGAAAGTGATGAGAAAGCCAACTATTTACGGTTTCAACCAAAACAGAAGGTGGGGGAGACCTTCCAATGCGGACACCTGTTACCATTCACTATTCTATCCAGTGCAGAAACAGAAAATTTTGCCTAGACATACACTTTAAAGACACATCCATCTTGCAAAATGGCTGCCAGTGCTGGGTGTGGTTGACAACACATAATATAGCAATATGTTTTCTCCTCTCGCAGGTTTGGTCAGTGCCTTCCCCATGTTCGGCTCTTCTTTCTTCTACATCCAGAGCTGCAGTAACAACATGGTCATCTCCCCGTGTATCCTGGCGATCAACCAGAATGGACTGAATTTCCTGAACAAAGAAAACCATGTATGTGTAGATGATACACTGTCAGCAGAGATTTCTGTTTATTTTGTTGATGGGTTGGATCTCTTGTGGACACCCTAAGGCCACCTCAGATGTGACATCTGCTTCCCTTATGTGATGAGTAATATCATATCCTGTGACGTTGACAAGGCTGTCTTCATCCTCAGCAGTTCTCTTTAGAAAGAGTATAGAGACAGAAACCATACTGCAACTCTACCGTAGTGTATCCAGATCTGGTAAGATGACAGTATAGCTAGCCTACCACGTCCAATCAAAATGGACAGATGCGTCACGTGTCCCTCAGACTGAGTCAGATTACTGCTGCTTTTCTTGTTAGGTGGCAGTGCTAAAATTGAGTTCTGTGGTTATTATTATTATACAGTACTTATATAGCGCCAACAGTTTGCGCAGCGGTTTACAATATAAGGAAGACATTACAATCACAATACCATTCAAGACAAGATGGTAAGGAGGGCCCTGCCCCTGAGGGCTTACAATCTAAAAGGGAGGGCGTTCCCATGGTCTTGTCACCTTAACCATGGGGGAATTAAGCCTGAACGTCAATCTGGCCTATCCTAAGGTCTACTGTTGATCTTCTTCTATACACTGAGTGGCCAGTTTATTATGACCACCTGATGTTTGTAGGCAAATTAGGTATAATTAGCTATAATTTTGCGCTGAAGTTGCTAGAGGGCCAGACCATTATAAATAGGGAAGCAGGTTGTTTACCACGACAGTAGAAGTGATTTTGTTCTGAAGATACGGGGAAACAACGCGATTTAACAGCCTTTGAACGTGGGATGATTGTTGGCGCTCGGAGCCATGGAGCGAGTATCAGCAAAACAGCAGAATTAGTTAAATGTTCAAGAGGGGCTCATTGTTAAAGTGTTTAAAGACCGGACTATCAGCCGAAAATCTGGGTCTGAACGTGCAAATTGTGGCCGTCAGCGACTAGTCAATGTTAGGGCAGAACGGAGAGTGGCAAGACTGGTACAAGACCACAGAAGGGCAACAGTGCAGTGTCAGATTCCTCGCATCACCTTTCATCATCTCGTGGAGTCACGAGGCGGTCCAACAAAGTCATCTCGTGGAGTTATCTCATGGCCCAACGAAGTACTGATGGGGTGGTCATAATAATTGGGCCACTCAGTGTACGTAGTAAGCCATACAGATCACCTAATTGGTGATTTGCACAAACTCAGCAATATGGAAAGTCTTTTAAGGCCACTTTTACAGGTTATCATGCATATTTCATTTCCATTTCTCCTGGCCCCATGTTGCTATGTTCACACTATGCACATTTTAGTCTTTGTAGCCAATTTTGGGCCTACGAAGACTTGTTTAGATTGCCTAACTGGATATATACCACAAGGCTGGTGCAGTGGAACAGTATGGGTTATGGAAAACTCACCAAAGGGTCACCCTTACGCAACTCCTGAAATATTGGCATTGTGACTAGGTTGGCAACATACGAGAAGCTCTTACAGTGAGACTTGCGCACCTTCAGTTAATACACAGCATACAAATTTTCATTCCAGTTCATTTGTTTGTTAATTCAGTTAAAAGATGTCATTGGTGATTGGTCACAGTTGGTTCAAACATGGACAATCTCTGCCTGCACTAGCAAACATATCCCTCAGCTTCCATCATCTACATCACACCTTCATTTAAAGCCATACTGGACCATTTATGGTAATCTGTAGAGCCAGCAGTGTACCATCATAATTCCACTGTGAGGCTAAGCCAGTCCCAGCTGCTCATCTTTGACCTACCAGTTGTCGCTTTTTGGTTATTAATGAACACTTTTTTAGGCCTCCGTACTGATTTGTAACCTGAAGGCATCAACTGAGCTTCTTTGTGAAATGCACTGTCAGTTACACATCATTTGTTTTTGCTTTATAGGATGTGGTGGTAACATTCCCTCTGAAGGACATCCAGAGCACCAGGACTCAGCGTCCGGCACCGGGGTTCAGTTACCCGTATGTGGACATATTGTTGGGTGACATGACATCACAACGGATAACACAACTACAACTGGAACAGGTGAAACAGGGTCTCTTTCTGATGCAGAAGCATACTAGAAAGACAGAGATTGATTTATAGAGTTCACTGGGTACAATACAAGGAGAAAGGTGTTCAGGGTAACAAATGTTTTAACTGTAATGGGTTAAAATAAATTTGATCAAGGCAGTAGTCTGGGATCCAGAAAGTCATTGGCATAAGTGTGGACTACAGAAGGGGTGAAGGACTCAGCCTTGGAGTATGTTGAATAAAACTTGGGGAAAATCTTTAATCGTAGCATGGAGAATGGTTGGAATTTGGGATGCACCGATACAGGTTTTCGGTATCGAGTACGAATACTGATGTTTTGCTTTCGCCGATGCCGAGTACCGATACCAGTGCTTTCACTGGCATGGAGCCGGCTTCTCAGGCAATCAGGGAGGCGGGCCATTACGTCCCGGGCAATCAGGAATAACAAGCCACCTGGCTTCCTGATTGCCTTGGAAGCCGGCTCCATGTTGTTTAGCCTGCTAGATTGTGATTTGCCAGGAAACCGGCTTCCCGGCCAATCAGGAAGCCGGGCGATGAGTAATGACCTGCCTCCCTGCTTGGCTGGGAAGTCGGCTCCATGCCGATTGGCTGGAAAGCCAGCTTCCCAGCCAATCAGCAAGGAGCTGGCTGTTCGGCTGGCTCGCTGCTGATTGGCTGGGAAGCCGGCTTCACAGCCAATCAGCATGGAGCCAGGGTTCTAGCCAATCAGGAAGCTGGGAGGTGGGTCATTACTCACCGCCCGCCTTCCTGATTGCACAGGAAGCTGGCTCCATGTTCCCCTATGGCACTGCCATTGTTCCAGTATCAGAGAAGGTATCGGGGCATTTGGGCGAGTACGAGTATTGACACCGATACCAATACTAGTATCGGCATTGGTGCATTCCTAGTTGGAATGCTTTATTTAAGCCCCCCAGACAAAATTAGCACTTAATCGTTGCAGTGCGGGGGTAGTTTTTAATTTTCCCAGAGTTCTTCTTTAATGTTAAGAGAGCTGCAGACTGCACTTGGGGACCCCGCCGGACTTTCAGAACCAAGAACGAGTTGATCTTTAGAGCTGGTTTCGGGTATTCTAAATCTGCCAATGACAAATGCCAATACTTGCCCCTTCTTCTCCTGAATGTAGCTCAGACTTTCAGAGGGCTTTCAGCTCATTGATTCAGCTCCTTTGTCTCTCCTCTGTGTCTATTCCTCCCTTTGCTTTACCCTTGGATCTCTAACAAGACCAGATAGGAGGCGGTATGTTGTGTAGTCACTTATCATGCTCCAGCAATCATTGCACTCATATTGGTGTCCATACCCATCCTACATGCTTCATAAACAGGTGACGTCGTGCAGTAAAGCTCCATTGATGCTCATGGCTTTTTGATGACAATTTTTACTTTATTGTGCTTGTGTCAGCTTCATAAGTGAATGTGAACAGTCTTATTGGCCTATTTGTAAGCACCGCACACTGTGGTTCCTCTCACTGGCTCATACGTCCCATAGTGACCTCTGACCTGGCCGGAGGAACTACATTGCAAGTTACCTATAATAGAATAGTACACTCTATGGAGTGCCTAGATCAGGGGTGGGCAACCTCAGCACTCCAGCTGTTGTGGAACTACAAGTCCCATGAGGCATTGCAAGACTCTGCCAGCCACAGGCAGTGGCGTCACAAGGGGGGTGCTGCCCGCACCCGGGTGACACCATTGGAGGGGTGACACCAAAATGACTCACAGTCATTTTGGTGCCACCCCCTCTGAAAAGTCGGGTGCTCGGTCATGGACCGAACGCCCGACAGTATCAGGAGAGAGGAGGGGACCTGGCGGCATACCTTATCCCGCTGGGTGACTGTCCCCTCCTCTCAGTATCAGAATACTGCCGCGCACAGTGACGTCTCGGCGGGGTGACACTCGGTTACCGCTCCGGGTGTCACCCAGCCTCGGGATGCCACTGCCCGAAGGCACTCTGCCCTCTTCTGTATCTAACAAAATGTTGTCAGTCGGGCTTCTGTCTTCAATGTTTGAATAAACTCCAGCGAGGTATCCCCCCACCAAAGACTTCTCTAGCCAGTAAGCTGTGTGGTCAACACCCCTTTATCTGTTCTAGAATTGTGCATCACAAGCACACTAGATCAGGGGTAGGCAACCTCAGCACCCCAGCTGTTGTGGAACTACAAGTCCCATGAGGCATTGCAAGACTGTGACAGCCACAGGCATGACTCCCAGAGGCAGAGGCATGATGGATTTGTAGTTTCACCGCAGATGGAGGGTGGAAGTTACCTACCACTGGTCAATGGAGTCCAGTTTGTGCTGCAGGTTCACCCGACCTGATCAGAATTGGACAAACTTTTGGGGGGCAACCTCTAGATCAGGAGTACGAAAACCTTGGCACTCCATCATGCATCTGCGAGTCATGCCTGTGGCTGTCAGGGTGTTGCAATGTCTCATGGGATTTGTAGTTTCAAAGCAGCTATAGGGCCAAAGTTTGCCCACCCCTGAACTAAAGGTTGCCCCGGCAAAATTTGACCAGTTCTGGTCAGGTTGGGTGAACCTGCAGGACACACTGGACTCCCTTGACATAGAGTAGTCAACCTCGGCACTCCAGCTGTGCTGAAATTACAACTCCCATCATGCCTCTGCCTCTGGGAGTCATGCCTGTGGCTGTCAGGGTCTAGCAATGCCTCGTGGGACTTGTAGTTCCACAGCAGCTGTAGTGCCGGAGTTTGCCTACCCCTGCTGTAGATTCAAGTCATTTTGTACATTGGATCCGTTTTTCCCGCTTGATTATTATGGGGTGTTTCTTCCTCTTCCAGTGCATCAGCTTTCAGCATAAAAAAGCAGCAATGCATGTAGTTCTTATGAAGCAATACTTCTCCGTGCACATTGTCCTGGGACACACCACAGTCATTATAGAGAGTTAGAAAGCCCCTTCAGCATGCTGTCTGCCCCATGTTGGTGTCTCCATGCATATAAAAAAAGTGCTCCAAGTCGTGACAAACGCCTGACCCTCCCACCCAGCGAGATCACGCTGCTCTGATCGCCGCCACCGCTAGAGACCTCTCTGCACTTTAGATCAGATATACCGCACACAAAAAAACAACAACCAGCATCTTTGGAAGGAGATCGTCTATTTCCATCAGGACAAGGTTGCCTCGAAGGACTGCTTAAAGGAAACGTCCATAGCTGAAAATGTTAGTTTTATGCCTGTTGGGCTGTTCCAGTTGTTTGCATCACACTGGCCTAGCACAAGCAGGACTACACAAACCCCCCACCCCTCTTCTATTTTATATAACACAAAGGAATGGGTGTTCTGTAGTCCTCAGAGATGGCTGGGAACAATGTGATTGATATTAGCCAGCACAGTGCACATGAAGCGACCTCTGGATTTCTGGCAGGATCCGCAGGTTTCATTTTTTTTTTTACGTATCAAACAGATATAACAAAACAGGTCCAATGGTATATTTAAAGAACTATGAGGTGAGTGATTTCCACTCATCCTTATAGTTAGAGCCGACCTGTGACAAAGAAGCTGTCACAGGTCGGCTCTATCGATCGGGAAACATGCACCGGTCTGCTCACTTCCCGATCGTCTCCCTGCAGTGACTGTCAGTCACCGCTCCCTGCAGGGATTCCCCCCTCCCTTCTCTGGTCCTCCAGCGCTGACTGGAGGAACGGACGGGGGAAGGGGCGGGCACAGCTGGCTCTGCCTCTAGATTGGCAGAGCCCGCTGTCACTCACGCAGCTGGGTGGATCTTGACAGTAATGTCGGATCCGTCCCGGCTGCGTGACGCTCTCAGTATATTGCGGGCAATATCTCGCTATATACTGAGCTTTGGGTCACCGTAGGAGGTTAGTTTATATCCTCCCGTGACCCTAAAGAGAATTATGGGGGAAAACACTTACCCCATAGTTCTCTTTTAAGAGACCAGAAGGGAGCAATGTTACATGTTTGGTTTAGATTCAGATAACAGAAATGTTACATTATATGAAGAAAAGTTCATTTCAGCACCAAGGACAGCAGATGTTTAAAGGGACACCAAGCTGTCCCTGACTATTGTGTCACCTTTTCTTTACCCGTACCTCCCTCCCTAGCGGCACATACTCACCTTTCCCCCCCCCCCCCCCCCCATCTCTACGTCCAGCCGCTGTGAATGAGGAAAAGAAGCCCTGTGTAAGCTCCGAGTCGCTCCAATCAGAGCTTACACAGAACACTACTGGGCCAATCACCAACACTGTTACATGAGAGGAAGGGGAGTAAGTCACATGCTCTTCCACACCCACAAGTACCGGTTATACTGGCTACAATGGAGGTGGGGGTTAAAGGAAAGGTGACTGTGTGCTGTTGGGGGGTATTAAAGAGAACCTGTTGCTTTACAGAGTATGGCCAAAGCACAGGTTTGCCCTATAGAAGCACAAATTCTACATTAGTGGTCGGCTGTGTGCTGGAAAATATCAATGCCCATTGTAATGCCAATGCATACAAAGCATGAGAGCATCACGTGGCTTAATTAGTTCAGCAAGAGTTTATTGTTCTCAGTAGGCAGTTAAAACAGCCAAAGCGTTTCAGGGGGCCCTTGAATATTGGCATTGAAATGCCCAGAAATTAGGAGGAAAGCTTCCTTTGCACTGAAGTGCTTTGACTTCCTCCTACTAGTCACTTACCCATGACTAGTAAGTGACCCCTCCCCCCCAATCTGCTACATATATCGGTACATGGACCTCAGATCACAGTGCTCACATACTAGGAAGGTAAAAATACTCAATATTCATCAATTTCATCTACCTCCGACAGATTTCCCCCAATCTGACCTCTTCGATACCTTAAAAACATTCATTGTCATTTGGAATTCTGTCTTTAATATCTGAATAGGCTCTAGATAGGTGTCCTCCTCTTAGCCAGTAAATCATGTGATCAGCATCCCTATTTTGGAATTGTGCATCGTGGACACACTATATGAGAGGTAGGCAACCTTGGCACACCAGCTGTTGGGAGACTACAAGTCCCATGAGGCACTGCAAGACTCTGGCAGCCCCAGGCATGACTCCCAGAGGCAAAGGCATGATGGGAGTTGTTGTTTCCTCAATGCTGGAGTGCCGAGGTTGCCTACCCCGGCTCTATAGTATGCCCAGCAATGCCAGATATGAAAGAGAAAAGAAGAGAGGACATTGGGTCGTAGCACACTATGAGGAATGGGAGCGGGGTCATACAAGTGTCCGCAATCCTAAGCTGGCCGTACACCAGCAACATTTTGTTCTGAAAAATTTGTTTTTGGAAAGTTTATTCAATAATAGTTAAAGTACAACTGAACCCAAAACTTTCTTTTTAAGTTTTGGATGGAGTGGAGAGGGATTAGACCTCCTGACAGGTTTTTATTGCTGTCTGTGTCCCCGTTATGGAGATTCACCCCTCTCTATTGTCCTGCTGACAGCTTTTACTATAACTTTAAAGGAAAGAGCGTCTGCCTCATTCATCAAGAACAGCAAGAGAACTGCCAACCTGCGTTGCCCACGGCAACCCGATTTTACTTGACCCACTGCTTTGGGCTTGTTCACACGACGTCCGGATTCTGTCCTGACCAGAACCGTGCGCTCCTGCATCCCAATGTATCCCTATGTGTTTTATGGGCTACAGTTCTCACGTGCGTAGTCCGGCCCGGCCCGGACAGAGAAAATACTGCATGTCACATTTTGTCCGGTCCAGATACGATCTGGAAACGCACGAACGCGTCAAAAACACAACGACAATGCACCGCACTGCAGTTAACATACTGACAAGCCCCACTCCCAACAACCACAAAAAGAGAGACAAAAACGCACGGCACGCATAGCACCGCGTCTGCAGATCTGGGCCAGAAAATTGTGTGAACAAGCCCTTAGGGTTGTCACCAGAACAGGAATAGCTGGGAAATCTTCCAATGAGGACACTAGTTCTAAAGAGCACCAAGGATTTTCTTCTCTTTTGGAGGGATTTCCTCTCACTTCCTGTTGTGGCTATCAGGCAGGAAGTGAAGGAAAATCTCCCCAATTGGACACAGTTGGCAAATAAAAAAGCTTATAGTGGTTATAACCTTCTCTATCCAAAACTAAAAAAAAAAGTGTTGGCTCCATTTCTACTTTAATGGCATCCTTGTCAGGGAGATTCACCCTCATGATTTGTCCTGGTGACCGTTGTCACTGAACGGGAAAGAAAATCCCACATTTTGGGTTGTCACTAGAACAGGAATAGTGGGGACACTAGATCTGGAAAACACCAAGGATTTTCTTCTCTTTGGAGGGATCTCCTCTCACTTCCTGTTGTCTATTAGACAGGAAGTGAAGGGAAATCGGATGCATTATTAAATGTTCTGATCAGATTTTTTTTTGTATGAACATTCGTAGGGCAATCTACGTGTGTATGGCCGGCTTTGACCTTGAAAGAACTTCTTTTGTAATGTTCTT